ATATTAATTTTGTCATTCTTCTTTTTGTCATACTAATAGTTATATAGCTCAAAATAAGGCACCTGGACCAGGCATACAGTCTAAGAGATTAAATGTGTAGGGACAGGAAGTGGAGAGAAAAGGTAGACAAAGGAGAACACTATGAGATTGCCTGACTGAATGGTGAGTTTTTATTAGGCATTTAAATGAAGTTTGGGTTAGACAGCTGTCTTCCTAGGGTTCTTGCTGGGAGGAGCAGCCTTTAGTATTTGTTGTTCAGTTGCACAGTCGAGTCCAACTCTTTGAGACCCTGTGGACCACATTACCCTAGGCCCTCCTGTCCCATACTGTGGTTTAATTGGGCTTTCCCCTTGCTCTCTGTTCTGTTAGAAGAAGCCTCAGATTTATACCACTACTGCTACTAAATACTACTACTACTACTAAATACTACTACTACTGCTAAATATTTCTATAGCCCTTTTTAATGTTTAAACTGCTTCACAGACATTAGTTCAATAATGTTTACAAGGAACATCAACATTGCATATAGTAGATGGAGGCTGAGAGAGAATCGATAGCCTAAGGCTGCCTATTAACCTGGGTGGGAGGCAGTGTTACCTCTAAGCTGAGTCAGTGTGAGGTAGCTCACAGTTTTTTAGCCTCCGACTCACGAATTTTTGTCTTAGCTCAGGAAGGATGGCTCCAGAGCTAACTAATTTATGCAGTAGCCAAATCGCTTGCTCACAACTTTAATGCCAGTAGCTCACAAAGTAGAATTTTTTTGCTCAGAAGACTCCACAGCTTAGAGGGAGCATTGGTGGGGGGGACCCACCAGATTTGAATCCAGAGAATTCCTGATTGAAGGTTCAGTTACTTAATCACTAGCGCTCTTTCCATACAAGGTGAGGTGTGTGTGTGTGAGGGAGTGGGATTTTGACAGCAGGCTCTTCCCCGAATCTAAATGTTCACATCACAGCAGACTCCCATGTTTATACAGAGCCCTCAGCTGTTTTCCCCCCAGGTGCTTACTGTATGTTACCTTGCTTCCAGGGTTGCCATCAACCTGGAGAAGTGGGATGTTGTTCACCAGGTGATATTACCGCCATGCCATTAAAAGTTTCTCCTACCAATTTTTACACACTTTTAACACATATTTCAGATTATCTGAAAAAGGCTAATGTTACACTTGCAACTCTCTTTTTGCAAATTTAGTTTTCTCTCTGTAACTGAACCCACAAGAGACTAAAACATCTGACCTCTCTAAGCAATTAAGTGTAATAGCCACATTGGTTATTGTAATTATTATTATTATTGTGGTTATTTATAGCTTACCTTTCTCACTGAGATGTAGGGTTGCCGGCTTCCAGGTTGGTTAATACCTGGAGATCTTGGAGTTGGAGTCTAGGAAGGGTGGGGCTTGGGGTGGAGAGGGACTTCAGTGGGGTATCATGCCACAGGGGCCACCTTCCAAAGCAGTCATTTCCTCCAGGTGAACTTATCTCTGTTGCCTGGAGATCAGTTGTAATCTCAGGAGATCTCCAGCCACCACCTGGAGGTTGGCAACCTTACTGAGACTCAAGGCAGATTACATGGCGCAAGTCAAGTACAAACAACAGTATGGGACTTCCAATGAGCAGTACAATAGCAGTGCAATTAGAGTACAAAAATCTGAAAACAAACAAATCTCAAACAGAGGTGAAATAAAGCATGAGCTCTTAAACATGATACATTAAGTGGAATGTCAAATATGAATTCATGCAAAGGTACATCTGCAGGGCAAGGCTTTAGTTTTTATGCCTAGGCCAAAAATGCTTTCCAGTGCTAATGACCAGGTGTGTAGATATCTCAAAGTCCAGCCAGAAACAGAAGAAGGCCAATTAAAAGTAGAATTTATACTTTATACAAGTAGGACCACTACTGGCTAAAACAAAAACAAGAAAATATAACTTAGATTTAATATCTTTTAAAAATACAATAAAAATCCCCTGATGGACTAAACTAAAGGATAACAGGTGAATTCAAGATATTAGCAGTGGCTGAACATAGCCTAACTCAAACAGGACACAGTATCTTATTCCAAGACACTGAAAGGCTGGACTATACATCCAATTACCATGTCAGATTACACAGGGAAACCACTTAAATTCATAAACATAAACACAATTTCAACAGGAAAGAAGAGAGTTTAAAAATAAATAGGGCATGGTTTCCTGTCCTGAAAAACACAAAATGCTCTACATTTTACAACAGCACTACAGATAAGATTAGCATTTCAACAGCCAATCCATATGCAAAAGAACCTCCTCAGGAAAGCTCCTCCATTAGCATGCCACAGCCTGGGAAACTCCTACAAGATAATGACTCAGCCCTACCCCATTTTCTGCAGTAGATATAAATTACCTGCCTACCATTTTTCTTCTCACATTGACACAGAGAGTACTCCATCTTTCTGTGTTATACCTCTGATGATGCCAGTCACAGCTGCTGGTGAAACATCAGGTACTGCAATGCCAAGACCATGGCCATACAGCCTGGAAAATCTATAACAACTAATGAATTCTGGCCCTGAAAACCTTCGAAGACATATCCATAGAAGCTTTATGTCATATGCTACTTTGGAACATTAGAAAATGCATATAAAGAGTTTAATTCTTTGGAATATCATTATAGTGTTATATTTTTCATATTTTATACATGTTTTATACATCTTTAGTAGGAATAGCCCACAGAAATGTTATTAAGAATGCTTTTTATATACATATATACATGTATTGATACAGAGGAACCATATTATAACGGGAAAAATTAAATCCTGCACTCAGTATGAACTCAGCCTGTAAATACATTCAGATGTGAGCAAGTCTGGAAGAACAGCCAAGAAGATGCACATATCATTTTAACAAGACAGGCACCTGCATCATCATAATCTGTAAAGTTGAAATGTGGCCAGTAACATCTTGTTCGTCAAATGTAAGATTAATGAATGTTAGAGAGAAAGAAAATCGAAGTACACATGTGTAAATGATATCACGGATTATGTATAATTGGGAGGAGAACCTAGGATATAAAAGATTGAACACAACTGTTGCTCAGTGGACATCTGAGCTTAACTTTGGGCTGTAGGTTGTTCCTTATTCAAATAAAACTTTTTTCTACCTTTCTGCTGCCTGGATTTCATCTCAACAGTGTGACTTAATTGGCTAGCCACACAAGTCAAAGAACCTTAGTGCCCTTGGGGCGCTGCCTTCACTTTGATTAAGCAGTTAGATTTTTGTTGTTGTAAAGACTTTTTTTGCTCACAATTATTCTGAGTTATCTTTCTACTCTTTCCTATTGTATGTTAAAATTCTTCAAATTACACTGTACTCATTCCCATTCTGTATAGAATAGGAATTTTATATATAATCAGAGGTCATTTCGGGGGGAAACGCGAGGGAACGCAGTTCCCCCAGGTGAGGTACGAGGGGGTGGGGCACATTACAAAGCCCCGCCCCCTGCTTCTGGCCACCCTGCTTCCGGCCCTCATTCAGCCAGGAGGAGGCAGGAGAAGAGGGAGGGTAAGTTGCTTCCTCCCTGCCTCTCCCCACCCCTGCCTGCCTGGGGCCAGGGAGGGCCTTCGCGGGGCTTCCTTGCACTCCCGCCGGCCTTGCAGGTCCACCGCCGGGCCCCTCATGGGGCTCGGCAGTGGAGCTGCAAGGCCGGCAGTGGCGGCCGGGACCGTTGGGGGCGGGGTGTGTGGCCTTATGACACATTTCCGGTGATGTCAGGGGGTGTGGCATATGCTAATGAGTTATGCTAATGAGTTCCCCTAGCTCTTTTTCTACGAAATGACCACTGTATATAATTCATATACTTTTGGAGAATTTTAAAATATTTGTTGCGACTGATGTTTTAATTAAATCGGGTCCCCGGCTTGGTGCCTATAGGAACCATGATGCCTGCCAGTGACTTTTGTGGCGCCTCCCAAGTATTTTAGAAAGTAGCTGGGGTTATGTGGGGCTTTTGCCCAGTAGGGCATTTGATTGGCCATTGGACATCTCATTGGCTGTGCAGATTTTTAAAAAAACTATCTTTCAATGGCAGCTGCGACCACAGTCTTAGTTTTTATTATCTCTCACTCCTTTACAAAATGCTTATCCTCCTTCTGCCTTGCATTTGGGCTTTCCTGTTTGTGTATGTAGCTCTGTCTCCTGCAGAAGCTATTTTGTGGTTGGGTCTGCCTCCCAATGCAGTCACTTTGTGGTTGCATCCACCACTCTGTGACAGAAGTCCAACGATGCCCACAGGCTCAAAAAGCGTGGGGCCCATGAATTAGATTATGGTTTACGCCAAGGAGCAGAAACACCTGTTTTACTTAATAGCAATGTATTGTGTCTCAGTGCTCTTTCATCAACTGCTCTCCACCACATTTTAGGGAAAGTGTTGGGAGGAACAGTGGATTTGTGTGTAATGGCTGTTCCCTAAAACTCTCCTTCAATACAGCTTTCCAAGAAACCCTGGTTTACACACCCAAATGACATGTTTTGGCTATCAGAAAACCAAGTCTAAATACATTTAATTCCATGTTGCTGTTGCCCTTCACAATTGTTCCTACAGTATTCCTCGGCATCCCCCCCCCCACTTGAAATTGTGAACTTATTGGAGCAGGGGCATCAGGTGGACTGGTGGCATTGCAAAAGTATTTCACATTCAAAAGTATTATTGTGTTTCATGTTCAAACATTCACGTCCAGCAATAAAAGTAATGACAAGCTGAAGTGTGGGGAAGGGGAGGAGGTGGGTTGTTTTAGTTTAAAGAGAAATTGAATCTTGGAACAGTATTGCTTATTGATGGTGATCCAGAGGTATAATAAAGAGCAAAAATTATCTACAATCTAAATGGAACAGCAGCTGGTTGGATGCGGTTTGTAAAGTAATTTTAAGGTTTACATTTTTCTTCTATATCAGCTTATCCTATCTTCTGACATTTCTGTAAATGAAATAGTTATATAATTGATTCCCTGTGTCCTTTCTTTTTTCCAGAATAATGAAATGGTGGAGCTGCAGAGAATTCGGATGAAAGATGAAATACGAGAATACAAGTTCAGAGAGGCAAGGCTCCTTCAGGACTATACAGAACTTGAAGAAGAAAATATTACTTTGCAAAAGCTGGTTTCCACCTTGAAACAGAACCAGGTGAGCACCAACTGAATTTTCAAGGGGCAAAAAGGTAAAGAATAACAATATCAAATGTGGAGTAATGTTCCATGATTGTTGGTCCAGAGGCATCTTAACAAATATGGAAAAATACAGTGGTGTCATGTGGTGAATTTTGGTTGCCATTAAGGATTGAAGATTTTGTGTTTTTTTTAAAAAATGCATTATATTTTTTCTACAAAAGCTGACTTGAAGAATATGAGCATGTGTATTAGAGATCCTTCGTGAAGGCACCAGGCATACACAATGCAATGTAATTTTCTTGCAGTGCCATCCTTGTACATTTCCCCATCCTCCCCCCACCCCCCAGTAACATATCTGGGAAGTTTTAGGAGAATAAATAAACAAGGAGATGCATCATTTTTTTCTTACCCACTATGCATGTAACTTTTAATTGGTTTTGAAATTCATGCTTAACAAATCTTGTATGAAATGAATGTAGGAAATAACAGAACAAAACTTTATTTATTTGTTAGATTTCTACCTCGCCCTCCCAGCCGAGGAGGGTCTAATTCCTTCCTTCCCTATATACACACACATTCAGACCTCAGGGTGGCCACTCTACAAGTATGAGTGGTTGACTTAGCACAACTATGTGTTGTGAACATACATGGTGTCAGGATGCAGTGGGCAAGCTCCAATTTAGGCTGTCTTCTTCAAACTTTCATACAGTTCTTCAGTCATAAGAATTTGCTTGTAATTTTTTAAACTTTAGTTATATACAAGTATGAGTGGTTGACTTAGCACAACTATGTGTTGTGAACATACATGGTGTCAGGATGCAGTGGGCAAGCTCCAATTTAGGCTGTCTTCTTCAAACTTTCATACAGTTCTTCAGTCATAAGAATTTGCTTGTAATTTTTTAAACTTTAGTTATATACAAGGATACTCAGTCTTGTTATTAGACCATATAAGATCAATTAGCCACGGAAGGCCTACCCATATCGCTTATAATTAGATAACAAGCCAATAAGAAAATATGGCCTGCACATTTTAATTAAAGGGATCCATATTTTCCTGTTGGAAAATGAAACAATGTGGTTGTCAACTGTTCTATGTCCCCCACTATTTCCAGAAGTTCCCTTACAGTGTCACTATTACTTATGGGCCAGAATGCATGTATCCCAACCTGTAGTGTATGAGTGATATATTGATACAGAAGCCTTCCTTCTCTTATATGTGAAATTATCATGACCCAAAGTGCATACTAGATTCCACATTGAGACCGCTTCCTGCATCCAGTTTTTGGTTTGGGACTTCAGCCATCTCTGCATAACATTCACAAAGCCACATTTTCTTAATCTTAGTTCATCTTTTTTGGTGATATGGGTATGCCACAAAGGAGTGTATAGTTATTCAGGTAAAGAACATGTCTAAACATTACAGAGAATGTTACCAATAACCATAAACCATGAAGACAATAATGAGACACTATAAACGATAAAGAACATGAACTTGACCTCCTCCAAACCAGTAAACTAACAACATGATTGAAATTAACTTAATTCATTAAAATTAATTGAAATGGAAAGTAATGGATTAATTTAGCATGGTATACTATGGTCCCTGCCACACGGGGGGAAAAAAGTCAGGCAAAAGTGCGGCTTTTAAAAGCTGCACCAAAATAGGCACGCGGCGGCAGGATCAGACAGATCCCGTGAGCTGCCCCGCAATTGCTCCCCGGCACGATCAGATGCCGGGGAGACAGCGATGGGAGGCTGCCGAACTGTGCATGTCTGAGCATGCGCAGTTCGGCCAGGAGCTGAGGATGCTCCAGCAGAAGGACGCGCCAGCGATCCCACGGCCGCGCTTGTCGCAGCCGTTCTGGTAAGACCGTGGCTTTTTGTTGATGCGGTTTTTCGGCCGGAAGGGCCGGATTGGGGATGGGCGCGCAACGTTTCCCAGATGTTGTGGTGGGATCGTGCCCATTTGCTGCGCTCCTGATCCGTCCCTCTCCCAGCCCAAAACCTTTCGTGTGACCGGGGCCTATGAATGCTAGCAACAAAGTAAACAAGGGAGTACCAAAGGCAACAGCAGATTGCAAAAGTTCCAACAATCAGGTATGTCTTTGGATCTCTGCCTCTAACCCCTTCCCCCCAAAAAAACTTCATATGCTAAGATGGTCACCCAATGATCATAATATCTGACAAAGGGAGCTTTGACTCTTGAAACCTTATACCCCTCCAAAATCTTATTGGTCTCTAAGATGCTAGTGGGCTCAAATCTGGTCATAACAAGTGAGTGTACTGAATATAAGAGATATGAAGATCCCAGTACTATAAAAACTGGAAGATGGTGGGCAATGTTCCATCAAGTGCATGAGCAGTGGTATATATCAGTGGAGCCCATCTTGACAATAGTGTCTGTTGAAAGATTGGCTACTTTCTATGTGGTCGAAAACTTAGTTAACATGTGTGGTGAGTGAAATGAGAACTCTGCTGAATGAATTTGTCTGATTATATTAAAAGAAATCACCATACTATTACCTGTCTCAGCAAAGAAACAAACATTCCAAAGAACTTTCACAGTCTCTCTTAGATATCCAGCTGGGAAGCAGAGAAAACCTACACACATTAGTGTTAGCGTTTATGATTTAAGTACAGTAGCTCAACAGCTCAGCCTCAGCTAACTACCTAAGCATGAATGTGTCCATCTTGGTCTGAAGTGGATCAACTGCTGCTGTAATTTCTGTTTTAACAATACCTTTCATTGAATCCTGTATCATTGCTTGAAATGACATTGTGCTAAATTAGAACATACAGACTTAGTTATCCCTGGAGAAGCACTTGGTATTTTCTTTCTGGTATCTTTAGAATCTGTTCCACTGGCTATGCTAAAGGTTTTCTTGGTTATATTTATACTTAACTACATGAGAACATACATGATTAGCATGAATATCTGTGACTTAAACATATGCAACAGCCTCTTATTTCTCAGTACTTCAATTCTCATTGAAAGTAGAGGTTTACCATGCTCCAGGAAGATTTCATAGGTGGCAAGTTGTATATTTCACTGGCTAGTGTTTTCATCTGCCCTGTTATAGCCAGAATCCTGAGCCATGCTATGCCCTCAAAAAGGCATAAGAACATAAGAGAAGCCAATATTGGATCAGGCCAATGGCCCATCTAGTCCAACACTCTGTCACACAGTGGCCAAAAATACCATGTGCCAACAGGAGGTCCAGCAGTGGGGCCAGGACACTAGAAGCCCTCCCACTGTTGCCCCCGCCAAGCACCAAGAATACAGAGCATCCCTTGCCCCAGCCTGAGAGTTCCTATCTATACCTTCTGCCTTGGACTTGGACTTCACTTCCCCAAAACAGTACTGGTCATCTTATGTTGCAAAATATTCTTAAAACTTGAAGGAGAACCTCATAAACAATTTTTGATACGGCATAGTGGCAAGGGATCTGCTGTTCAAAGAAATAAAGTGAAATTCCCTTTGGTACTTGTAAGGCCCTGAGCTTGCCTAAAATAGTTTTTTTGCATCCTGAGTTATAGTTAGAAGCAATTAATATCCTTTATCATTCCACTCTATAATGAACATAAACAACTGATTGTAAGTGTAGGTTGTGTTTGGCTTTCTAATTTTTGTTATGAAAGATGCAATTTTGTGCCATTTTTGTTTTCTTGTTACTTAGAAAATGGTTCTCATTTTCACTGTGAAATTTCATCACTAATTACAACTCACAAAAGGGACTGATTACTCATTACATTGTAATTCTATTACTTAAATAGTTACAGCATGTTTTATATACTGCCACTCAAGAAATCATTTGTGTTTCTACTATCAGTAAAGAGCCAACTCTCATTTTCTATATGGATATTGCTAAATTTTACTGAAGACATTTGTTGACATTGTAGCGGGGATGTTTCCAGCAATGTTAAAATGCAGTATTTCAATAACTAGGCCACAGTAATCCTGTAAGCTTCATGGTAAACAGGAATTTAAACCCAACTTTGGTCTAACATTTTAGCCCTCACACTGCACTTCTTTTTAAAAAAATCATAAATGTATTTTCCTGGGAATTTTTCCCTTTATAACCTGTGAATATATGCGTCTACTGTGTTTTTTCTGAATAATTAACTTTCCCAGTGCCTGCTGTCAGATAATATTATTGGGCACTGAAGCACCTATATTCACCTGATATGAGGCATGGAGTTTGATGATATTGTTTACCATGCCATCAACTGTTTTATTGCTTTTATTGTTTTATGGAGTGTATGTTGTAAGCTGCCCTGAGTCCACTTGTGGTATAGGGCAGGGTATATAAATTGAAGAAATTAAAACATAAAAATAAAAAAATAACAACACATTTTTAATTTCTTTGTTTTAAAATAATAAAGATTACATCTCTTGCTCTTGGTCTAATAGACATGTATAAACAGGCAAAACTACCAATAGTATGCATTCTGCCTTTTAAACTATATTCTCCGGGATGAGTACATTTTTGTTTACAAGTTAGCTTTGTGACATATGACGACTTTATTCCAGAAAAAATGTATAAACCTATTCAGTTATTGCTACACATCATGTATTAGGGGGGATAAAGAAGGACAAAATAAACATGGATTTAGTCTTTTTTAGGGATCAATTTGTGCAATTAGTCTATACAGTCATTTTTTTCCCCCCACCTGGTAATTCTATGCATGCATAACCCCCTGCTTTGGTCCTTTAGTGCAGCAGATGCAGCAATTGGCAGGTTGTTTGTAAATCCAAATTTTAGTATGTTGAATGTTCTTTGTCTTATCTAATTCAGGTTGAATACGAAGGGCTGAAACACGAGATAAAGCGATTTGAAGAGGAGACCGTGTTGCTTAATAGCCAGCTAGAAGATGCCATTCGGTTAAAGGAGATTGCTGAACATCAGCTAGAGGAAGCCCTGGAGACATTAAAGAATGAAAGGGAGCAAAAGAACAATCTGAGGAAGGAGCTTTCCCAGTATATCAATCTCAATGATAGCATGTATAATAACCATATTAATATCTCAGTAGATGGATTAAAGTTTGGAGAGGATGGGAATGAACCTAACAATGATGACAAAATGAATGGACACATTCATGGACCCCATGTGAAACTGAACGGTGATTTTCGGACTCCCACAGTTAGGAAAGGAGAATCTCTGCATCCAGTCTCTGATCTCTTCAGTGAACTCAATATCTCTGAAATGCAGAAACTGAAGCAGCAACTCATGCAGGTAAGAGCCTGATTTTGAATATTATAACAGGAAGTTTCATACAATATACTGGACTTGGAGTCCAGTGACGTATTCTAAACACATTCTTATAGTAAAAGCCCACTGATTAATCCTTTTCCTAAGGAAAATGAGTTTTGGAAAAGGGATTTGGAGTGGGGTGGTGGTGGAAGGAGCGCCTGGCATTTCTCCATTCCAAATCCATTTCCCTTGTGAACTTCCAAACTTGCTTAGACCCCTCTGGCCACTGACACTGGACTTCTGCAAACTTCATAAACATGTAACATGCCAGTGCTTGATGGTGCTTCAGGTAGTGAAGGTATCCTTAATAATGTGACAGCCATATCCACTTCCTTGTTCAGATTGAAAGTCACTAGTTTACACACTATATCTCTCCTCCCTACAAATTACCTTCCATTCCATAGAATTAAAGAAATAGCACTAAAGTTTGCAGTTAATGATACAAACACATTCATTTATTAATTTTATTCTCCAAATTGTTATTTGGTACACCCCTTGATTTGCCTACCCAACCACTCTTGATTAGGTCTTCTAAAGACAAGACAATAAAGTTATTATTGTCTTATTGGAAGACATTTGTATGAATCACTCCAGGAAAGGGGGGGAATGAGGTGTAAAATTTTTCTCAGACACTTGTGCTACCTCTCCGCCCCCCCCATGTCCCATCGACTGCAGTACATTTTCCAGCACTGTTACTTTCATATTTAGCCTTATTGACCACTCAGAAACACCAAAGCCCAAACTGCTTGGTCACTGCTACTGGGGGTGTGACTGAGGGGGGAAAACCTGAGGCAGCACTCTGCCATCACAATCAGTTAGGCTGAGAGGGTGTGACTAGGCCAAGGTTGCCCAGCAAGCTTCCATGGCAGAGTAGGGATTTGAACCTGACTCTCCCAGATCATAATTTGACACTCTTGACTACTTCATCATACACAGAATTGATGTACAATTTATATTTTGAATTCATGTACAAGAGGACTGAATTTAAATAACAAAATACCCAGTACAATGCAATCATTGCATCCATCTATGGGATATTTCTCCAAAGAAGTGAAGTGAGCCAGACCTTGGCTCTTCTGCATATTGTCCTCTACCTCATTTAGTTATGCTTGTTTAAAGGCAGGGCTTCCACTGCCATGGTGAGCAGACAAATGAAATAAGGCCCAGGCTATACTGTTAACTACTTAAGGTATAGCATTTGGACCCTGTGTGTTGTGAGAATTTTCCTATTTGGGCCAGAAAATTGTATCCTTAATACACAGCATTTGAAATCACAGTAGAACCAAATTCACAGAAAGTATTTTGCCATGGTCATGTAGACAGAGACAGCCAGCATTCTTTCCCATGAGAGCCTGGCTGACCATATGTTCAAAGGTGTCAGATAGGAGACAATTCAGGTAATTTACACTTAAAAGAGGTCAAGCATTTGGCCTGTGAGGCCTAATTTACTTCAAAAGACAACACTAGTGAATGGAAATTGTTTTCACTCCCAGTTCCTGAGATGCGATAACAGCTAGGTTTATCTCACGCAGCTCTAACAAAGAACATCAAGCACATAGAGAAAAGAAAATAAGCTTTGTTTCTGAAATGTAAATCCTTAAGTGTAATTCTATGTTGTTTTGTGTGTGAAATGTTGTAACACTGTAAACTTTGGAATGCAAGGGAACATCCTTTACATAGAAGACCCAGCCTGTATCAAAGAGAACATTTGATAGACATAATTTACAAGGGCAATCCACTTTTGAAATAATTGATCTTTTGTGTATAAATGAGGGTGTTCAGCAAGGGTTGGGGCTGAATCTTAGAATCTCAGAGAGAGTTCGTGCTCCTGGGGTTTCACTTTCAGCCCAAGAATTCTCATTTTTAGGGAGGAAATGTTCTTTTGCTTGAGGAGGCTGAAGTTGGTTCCTTATTCACACTTCCTTATTCATTCCTTATTCGTTACTTATTCGTGTAGTCATTCAGAAACACTAGAGAGAGTGAGTTAGAAAGCTCTGAACCCCAAAATAAGGTCTGGACCACCACATATCATATACCCCCACATTCACAGGACTCTCCCCTTCGAGGGGACATATGCGGTGTGCTGGTCCAAAGTGCGGTTCTGGTGCCAGCTGCTCCAAAGTGCAGAAACTTTGTTTAAGGAATTTAGCCTTGTTATTTTAAGGGAATCTAGCGTTGTGTGAGTGCCTTGGTAATGGGCAATACCAAGAACATAAAAGAATCGAGCTCTAAGGGGGAGCCCAGAGAGCGTGATTCCCCAGAATTCTCCCTTCACTGTGCAAATTAGAAAGACAAGCTAATTGATCTATCAGGCATTATGAGAAAGGCTGAAGAATTGTAGGTTAAGAACAAGCAGAGGCTGAACCAGCATGTACAGCCTCAAAAGCACAGAATGTATGGAAAGTCCCAGAAACGATATTTAAGTAATTTATACCCTGCCTTTCTCCCCCATGGGAACCCAAAGTGGCCTACATCATTCTCCTCTCCATTTTATCTTCACAACAACCCTGTGTGGTAGGTTAGACTATGACTGGTTGATGGTCACCCAGCAAGCTTCCATGGCATGAGTAGGAATTCAGATCTGGGTCTTCCACATACTAACCCAACACTCTTAACCACTACACCCCACTGGCTCTCTGAGGGAGTCTCAAAAACAGCTGCTTACATAGAATCATAGAGTTGGAAGGGATGTCCAGGGTCATCTAGTCCAACCCCCTATTAAGAAACTTAGGAATTATTAAGAAAAGCTGTGTTTTCCTATGTTAAAAGTGTGGTTGTTAGCCAAATAGGGCCTGTTGCTTGGTGTGCCGGCGCCCAATGATGAACACAGCCAGTGATATTCCAGAAACACACAGGATTTTATTGAAGTAAAGGGGACCTTGGCATCAGCAGTAACTTTTTATATAATGTGACAAACAACTTTAAGACATGCACAGTCTCTCTGTCCTTCCTGTGAATGTGCATTTTTCCTATCGCTTACAGCAGTTTAAAGTTCTCTGTGAAATGTTTGTCACTCCATATATTGATACAAAGTTTGCTTTTTGCACACAATTTGAGGGGTTTTTACATAAAATCACCTTAGTCTAAACTTTATCAGTATACAGATTACTGTTTCTCACTAATGATTTGTCAGTACTAAGCATGACTAAAGCTATACAAATGTCGAATTAAAAAAATGATAACCCAGGGCAAGAAATATTGCTCCTAATTATATCTCTATCTCAAATTCTGCATACATTAACATCTTTTATGTATCTGGGGTTTTGAAATGATAAAAGCCACCACCTAGAAAACTAATTAGGATTGATTTCGTTACCTTCCATCAAACAAGTTGTATCATTCATGCATGATATGTTTCATTAGTTTTACTTTCTTTTACACAGCTGAGCAAATGACATCCCCCCAAAATCTTGCATTAAAATATATCTAGGCCAAGATCTAGGCCAACAGTGTTGATAATACTTGGTAACAAATTCTTCGTGTTTTTATAATGTAAAATGTGGTTTTTGTTTTTATTTTTTATGTGTTAAATTATATAGCTCCCAGTAATACATTAACTGATTTAAAATAACAATATTAAACAGAAGTGCTGAACCTTTTGCAAAATGTTGGAAACAGTGTAGTTTCTGTGGAGCCAGATGGTACTCAAGTTTTTCAGGATTCCTGGAATTTAGAAACCATGATAATGAAAGTCTTGTATCTCTTCCTTGGATTATTGCAGGTGGAACGTGAGAAAGCTATTCTCCTGGCTAATCTTCAGGAGTCCCAAACCCAGCTGGAACACACAAAGGGGGCACTCACCGAACAGCATGAACGGGTCCACAGGCTCACTGAGCACGTCAATGCTATGCGGGGTCTGCAAAGCAATAAAGAGTTGAAGGAGGTAGACTTTGAGAAAGGTCGAGACTCTGGCGAAGAGACACACGATTATGAAGTGGACATCAACGGCTTAGAGATTCTAGAGTGCAAGTACAAAGTAGCTGTTACAGAGGTGATTGACCTGAAAGCTGAAATAAAGGCCTTAAAGGAGAAATACAACAAATGTGTTGAAAACTACACTGAAGAAAAGGCAAAATATGAGGGCAGGATCCAGATATATGATGAACAGGTGACAAACCTGGAAAAGTCAACTAAGGAAAGCCATGAGAAAATGATGCTGATGGAAAAGGAGTTGCAAAGGATTACAGGGGTGGCGAACGAGAACCATAATACTCTCAACACAGCCCAGGATGAGCTGGTGACTTTTAGTGAGGAGCTGGCTCAGCTCTATCACCATGTATGTCTGTGTAACAATGAAACTCCTAATAGGGTTATGCTGGATTATTACAGGCAAAGTAGAGTCACTAGGAGTGGGAGCCTAAAGGGACCCGATGATCCAAGAGGGCTTCTGTCTCCACGGCTTGCCAGGAGAGGAATGGCATCCCCAGCAGAAGCCAGGACACCCACTGAACAGATATCAAAAGAGAGCCTAGAAGCCAACAAAGAGCAAAGTCCAACAAAGACACCCACAATTTCTCCTGTCATCACAGCCCCTCCTTCCTCCCCGGTTTCTGACACCAGTGACATTCGCAAAGAGCCAATGAATATTTACAACCTGAATGCCATAATAAGGGACCAAATCAAGCACTTGCAGAAGGCTGTGGACCGGTCGCTGCAGTTATCCCGGCAGCGTGCAGCAGCCCGTGAACTGGCACCCATGATCGATAAGGACAAGGAAGGTTTAATGGAAGAAATACTGAAACTCAAGTCCCTGTTGAGTACAAAACGAGAGCAGATAGCAACTCTCAGGGCTGTGCTGAAAGCCAACAAACAGGTAACTGTCTATTAATTATGTATTTGCAGTTAAACCTGTGATTGGTATGTTTTGATGAACAATTTTAAGGATTGTGTTAATTTATGTAACATGTTTATGGAAGGTTTCCAGTCTCCAGGTTGTGGCTGGCCATTCTACCAGTCTATACTCCCAGTAAAATGTTTCTCTGTCTTTCTCTTTTGTTTGATCTGGTTTAAACACAGAAGCCTTGAGAACCCTATGAGTCATGCTCCACATGAACCCAACGTCATGTAGAAGTTCCCAAAGTGTGAGGGTGCCCTGCTTTACATTTTGGGGGGGAAATCAGCCTCCAGCATGGTAGCCATTAACAAAGACAAATGCTGCAGAGCTCCAAACATTGAACTCTCCACATTTTGTCTATTTTGATCCCATGCTCATGATTTTGGAACTACTGACTCTGGACATCCATTGAAGTATTTCCATCTCCATTCTTGGGGGTTCATCTCCAATATTAAAGTCTGATTTACATTTTAAAAAATCTGGAAAGGTAGTCTTTTAAGTAAATAGAACTGGATCTGTGTCCTGGTCTACAAGTTTTATGGTTCAGGCAAAAAAGACAGTCTTGGTATGCACTATCGATGCTGGCATAATAAAACCTCATAATGGATATAGAATGCGTGGATGCTACCTACTGGCTACCAGAAGGAACTTCCTTGGAAAGCTGCCCACTGCTGAAATAAATAGGACCCAAAACCAATATGATTACCATGAAACTTAACTTAGAATAAACTATTAAAAATGCCTTTTATTATTTATGCAAAATTATTATCAATAAATATTGTCAATATTATCAATAATTTCAGTTTCTATAATGTATAACTATCTGTGTGGTCTTTATTATGGCCTCCTAAGTTACTATATTTTAAAATATTACTAAATATACAAATATAGTAAGTGCGACAAATCATACAAAATACGTAACTAAACATCAATAATATTCAAAAAGCAAAGTGCCATAATGCTCATGAAAAAGGACTCTGGATCTTGTCATCACTGCTGTAAAGATAAAACTGATAGCTGTGAGTATGTTGCTGACATAACCAGAGTTATTTACAGGTTGATGACGTTTCTAAGAGTGTTGATAGTTGAAGTAGATCCATCCTTGAAGAATAGGGTTGCCAATCCCAGATGGGGGCAGGGGATCCCCTGGTTTGGAGGCACTCCCCCCCTTCAGAGTTATCAGAAAGTAGGGAGGGGGAATGTCCACTGGGTGCTCCATTATACCCTATGGAGACCAGTCCCCAAAGGGTATAATGGAGAATCGATCTGTGGGTATCTGGGGTTCGGGGGGCTATTTCAAAAAGATTGGACCTAAGTGTCCAATTCTATGAGCCCCAAAAGAAGGTACCCCCATCTTCCATTATTTCCAATGGAGAGAAGGCATTTAATAGGAACACGGTCCCTTTAAAAGTGACAACCAGAAATCCCTTTGGAGTTCAATCGTGCCTCTTCCCTCCCCTCTCCTGGAGGCTCTTGGAAAGTTCCCCACCTGCTTGTCAGCCTCAACTGGCAACCCTAAATGGTACCAGTGTGTGTGGCTTGGGTGGAGAATGAGTTGAGAGCAACCACTGTATTAGAAGCACAAGCTCCTACCATGGAATCACAGGAACCTTCTGGATGTAGGGGGTGGACCTGGAAGTGAAATCACAGGATGACATCACAAGTCCCCAAATATTTCCCAAGTCGGACTTGGCAACCCTATTGAAGAAGTCACTTTGAAACAGGGTCAATGGTGGGATTTAGCATACGGAACTGATTTTCTGGCATTAAGCTTTCTGCTTACAAAAGCCAAGGTTTATGATCTCTTTGGAAACCTTGTTGGACCATTTTTTTACAACAGCTGGATATCAAGTGGTAAAGGGTGCAAGTCTTTATCTTTACAGCAGCATGGACTCTGCTATATGAACTTTCACAGACAAGCTTCTTACTACTCATGACAACAAGATCCAGAGTCCTTTTTCATAAGCGTTACAGCACTTTGTTTTTTGAATATTATTGATGTTTAATGATGTATTTTGTATGATTTGTTGCACTTAATATATTTGTATATTTAGTAATGTTTAAAAAGATAGTAACTTAAGACATAATAAGGACCACACAGTTATAAATTATAAAAGTGTGCGGACTCTAATCTTGGAGAACCAGGTTTGATTCCCCACTCCTCCACTTGCACCTGCTGATGTGACCTTGGGTCAGTCACAAGCTCTGGCACAGCTGACCTTGAAAAAGAGCAGTTTATGTCAGAGTTCTCTCAGCCCCACCCACCTCACAGGGTGTCTGTTGTGGGGAGGGGAAGGGAAAGGAGTTTGTAAGCCGCTCTGAGACTCCAAGTGAAGGGCAGGGTAGGTAATCATATTGGTTTTGGGTGTTGCATATCTGTGATTCTCTCTTTGGTCTATTTGAAAGAAACAGGACAGCAAAATTCTTTGCACACAGTTTGCTGTTATCTTTTTGTGAAAATCACTGGTTCTGTGATATAAATATTAAAACAATATTACTTCTTCTCATCTGTTTTCATGCTTATTTCTCTTTGTTTAACTGCCTGCATTATTCCAAGAACATATGAATTATTTACATTGACTTCAAGAATTTATGCTGTTATATAGCAAATATACATAGCAAATTTACAGTGTTGCTGTATGTTCATAATTGTATGGTGTGTAATACAAATTATATAGATGGTGGCTCTGCTCTTAGTCATTGTAGATCACAGAGGCTTATGAGTACTAGTGCGCTCAGAGCCATTGTTTATCAAAAATGATAGTCCTATTCGTAACCTTGGATTTAAGTGGATTGAAACCTTTACTTTCTGCATGTATCCTCCAAAGGGCAAATTTATAGTCCTAGCCTCTGATCTTACACAGCTTTGTGCAAGGGACAGAAAACTGATTTTCCATTTAAAACTAGCTTGTGAGTTTTGCTGGGTAATTGCCTGCAGTAAAAGTGTACAAAATGCCTCTGCATAAGTATGTGCTCCCTCTCCCTTAATATGCTGGAGAGGGAGGGTAGAAATATTCCAAATAAATAAATGTGCTGTCTAGGATTACAGACATAGTTTGCAACATTGCAGTATTTTTATATTTCATTTTAAACATCATTTATCTAGCAGCACATATTTTAGGGCCAATTTATATAGTCATCAGAATCAGGTGGTACCTGAATGATACTATTTTAGGTGGAGGGCTGCATGTTTGAATGCTGCCCCATGGGAAAAGTTCCCTGCATGTAGAAAACATAAGAGGAGCCTGCTGGATCAGACCAGTGGTCCATCTAGTCTTGCATATTATTTCACACAGCAGCCAACTCAGTTGCCCTGGAGAGCAAAACAAACAGGGTACAGAGGTCAAGGCCCTTCCTTGCTACTGCCTCCTGGCACTGATATTCAGAGGTTTTGTGCCTCTGTAGCTGGAATCCCTTCAGGCCCCATGGCTAATAGCCATTGACAAATTTCTCCTCCATGAATATGTCTTTTAAAACTATCTGGGCATGTGAACATCACTGCTTACGCTGGTGGTGAATTCCAGTTTCATTACTTGTTGAGTAAAGAAGTATTTCCTTTTGTCTGTCTTGAACCTATTTCCCAACAATTTCATTAGATGCCCCAAGTTCTAGCATTATGGCAGAGGATACAAAGCTTCCTTTACCCACTTTTTCCACCACATACATTTTTTCCCTAGACTTAGAAGGCCAGACTCTCCATTATTTCCTCATGGGAAAGATGCTCCAACCCACTAATCGTCTTGGTTGCCCTCTATGACAGACCCCGAATGCTTCCCCGCTCGCAGACAGATCTTCCTGCCAAAAATATTTTTAGTTCCCCTCAGTGACTGAGCTGCCCTTCAGTAGCATGTATTTCTTCTTTGTTTTATAAGCTTTAACTGTCCCACCCTGTCACAGATATTAGTTTAGGCTTATGACCCAGCACAGGAGCTAGAGGGAATGCAGGAGCTGTTTTGTTTTAAAATGCCCTCATGAGATTCAGTGTATTTAATTGCTGTTACTAAAGCATGCTGCTCTTGCCTGTGGCAGTGGAAAGTGCCATCAATTCACAGCTGACTTATGGTGACCTCATAGGGTTTTCAAGGCAAGAGGTGGTTTGCCATTGCCTGCGTCTACATCATACCCCTGATGTTCCTTGCAGGTGTCCCATCCAAATAGTAGCCAGGACCAACCTTGCTTGGCTTCTTAGATCTGATGAGATTGGGCTAGCCTGGGCTATCCAGGTCAGGACTTTTCTTGCCTGTACTTCATCTTATATTGTTTCCAAGGCAAGCCACACTGACATGAAGGGGGTCAGTTGACACTATTATATTGAGGTTTAATACCTTCTTTCAATTCACTTTGTAAAGATTTTTTTAGTAATTTATATTAATGCATTATTTCCCCTTTTGTTATGAATATTTCTCCAATTAATATGTTCAGGATTAAAATGCTGTAGATTTGGGTGATGTTGAATTGCAAGTAAGAAAGGATGTACACTACCCATTATTGAGTTTTTGCTAGAAAGAAGCCAGAATCTACACTGCAGTAATTCACTCTGTCTGCGCTATGCTGAGAAAGGAGTATTTTCCCCTGTTCTTTTGCCTGGTTGCAAATTCTATTTTTGCTGCATGCTTTACTTTTGGAGCAACTTTGTTCACTTACATACTGTGGGCAGAGATACCTTTGAGAGTAAAGAGCAACTTTGGGACTCTATAAGCAGTTAACATGTTCTTTGAGGGAACCAATTATGGACACGCACACTCCTTTCCAGTGCCTGATGCCTTAATATTTGATCACGCACTGAAGGTTCTGTGATCAGTTCTGCCTATAAGATACAATACTGTAATTTTAAAACCCTTTCTCCCACACTCATACCCACCTTTCAACATCAGGTATTTCTCTGTAGCGGTTTCTTTTGTTTCCTTGTAGAGTGTATGCATTTGGTCATGTTTTATAGATTTCTCAGAGTCATAAAATTAATATTTCCATAATTGTCACAATGTTCATATTTCAAAGTTTCCTTTTAGGGAAGTGTTAGGGGATTTAGTTCTTTGTAAATGTGTGCTTAGTAGGTGAGCAAAAAGACCCATAAGTTTCTACTTCCCCTGAGTCCATGCAGCTTCATTTCTAATAGCTTGCAAAGTTGGCTCAGTTTCATGCTCAGGTACTTTAATCTCAGCATGCACAGAACTTGCTGTGGGATGAAAAGACAAGATGAGGACCAATTTATTTCTTGGCGTAGTGGTTAAGAGCAGGGACTCTAACCTGGTAGAACTGTGTTTGATTCCCCACTCCTCTACATGCAGCTGCTGGTGTGACCTTGGGTCAGTCATAAGTTCTTCCAGAGCTGTTCTCTCAAGGGCAGTTCGTGAGAGAGCTTTCTCAGCCCCACCTACCTCACATGGTGTCTGTTGTGGGGAGGGGGAGGGAAAGGGATTGTAAGCCGTTCTGAGACACCTTTGGGTAGTGAAGGGTGGGGTATAAATCCAATCTCTTCCTCCTCCTCCTCCTCCTATCCCTACTTGCTATTGGTTGGTATATTCATTGTACATGCAATATTGAACTGTGGTATCTCTGTATTTGACAAACAACGCTTAGAGCTATTGCTAAGATAATTATATGGGATCTGAAGAAGGATTAAGGAATGGTAGAAGGAGAGGAATTTTTTATGATTCTAATGTTTTGTTTAAAAGTTGTTTTCTTGCAAACCACTTTGAGTGACAGGAAAAGTGGTATGCAAATATTTTACATAAATAAGAGAATACTACAAACAATAGGGAAGTACAATATGCTGTATTACATTTCTATTAATTAAATGCTCGTTTTAAAAAGAACTTTTCAAATAAATTGCATCATTTGTACATGATTAAATGCCATCTCCCAAAGTAGTTGAGGAGGTTTCTCTACCTGAAATGGCCTATTGAAACTAGCACTCTGACTCTGTACATGGGCGGCATTGAGTGGCACATGCAAGCTTCTCAGTTGCTGTACAATTATTATCACAATTTAATACTATCAGGCAAACAATAATTCTTTTCTGTTGGAAATGTCTCAGTGTAGCTTTGGTGCCCAAAAGGCATTCTACCCCATTCCTTTTGTTTTTCTGTTTTTCTTCCAGACTGCACACCACTGCTATACTGCATCTGAGGAAGGGGTTTTGTCACTATGTTCCATACTACTGAGGATTGATCTAAATAGTATATATAAATACATTATTTTAATCCCAATAGCTGCTTTTTCCAGGGAAAAGTAGCTTTGGAAGAGGGCAGTGAAGTAGCAATTCCTCACACTATTTTTCTACCGCCCCAAAAGCTGGCCTTCCCTCAGGTATGGGGTTCCAGATATGTTCTAAAGGGAACCTGGAACCCCACAGGTGGTGAAAACTGGATTTGGGGATTTGCACCAGAAAAGCATCAGGTAGGGAAAGGATTGAAAACGGTGGAAAATCATCCCCTGAAGTTTCCCCTAGAGAGGAAGTTCTTTCTTTTTTAAATACATGCAATTATAATTAGTGCTTAGTTCTGGTCTGAGATATCACAACAGTCTGGATCAGCTTCCAGTGCTAGCACAATCTACAGGTTGTGATGTTGTTGCAGGAGTCTTTTCAGACAATCCTTCCCATTTATTTTCTGTCTCAGTGGCTCATTGGATTAGGCAATGAGACATTTATAGACACTCTCATTGCAGCACTAAACCTACAAAGCACTTCTAAGCAGAGTCACACCCTTCTAAATCCATTGGTCAGTGGGGCTGAAAAGGGTATGACTCTTCTTTGGATTGCCTTGCTTGTGTCTTAGTAGGGCTGCCAACCTCCAGGTAGTGGCTGGAGATCTCCTGGGATTACAATGGCTCTCCTGATGACAGAGATCAGTTCACCTGGAGAAAATGGCATCTTTGGAAGGTGGACTCTATGGCATTATACCACATTGAAGTCCCTCCCCTTACCAAATCCTGCCCTTCTCAAGCTCCACTTCCCAAATCTCCAGGTATTTTCTAACCTTGAGCTGGCAACCTGGGTATTTTCTTACCTAGAGCTGACAGTCTTAGGTGGTCGTTTTGTTTCCTTTTCCTTTACAAATAAATAATGCCTGCGCCTTGGTTTCAGACAGCTGAAGTGGCCCTGGCTAATCTGAAGAATAAATATGAGAACGAGAAGGCCATGGTGACAGAAACTATGACAAAATTGCGCAATGAGTTAAAAGCTTTGAAAGAAGATGCAGCAACCTTCTCATCCTTGAGAGCCATGTTTGCAACCAGGTAATGAATGCAATCATAGTTCATCATTTCGGCTTCTCTGAGGGGTGTTTCTGTGTAGTTGTGATGCCTTGTGAATGCTGGAACTCTGGGGGATTGGGCCAATCACAGGATTGCACCCACTGATACTGACCACCACACATTGATATGAACTTATGGAGGTGGTGGATCCCACCCTATGCCAGCATTCCACTGAGAACATTCTGAAGCTTTCATTCAGCCTAAGGAACCTTGTCCAGCTTGTGTAGCTGTTCTGTTGGAGGATGAGCCACATACGCTGGAGGAAGTCTCCATGGAGGATGGTTGAATCTACTCTGTAGTTTATAGGCTCTGTTCAGCTCTTCAGATCAACGTGTAGAGATTAGCTGGTCGGAAGCAGTGGTCACAGTCCTGCTGTCCCATTTCATGTACTGTTTCTAGTAGGACCTGGTGTTATCTCTGCTCTGTTGTCTTTAAAAAGGTTAGCCATTAATTAAGTATCTTCAAAGTTCTGAACAAAAGGGTTTTGAATTCTTGATAAGCAATAGCGGCAAAGTCCACTTAAGTGCAGAACAATATGACTTTCTATGCACTGGGTTTGGATTGTAATGAAAGTTCCTGTAAGCAAACAGTCTCTGCTTTCAGTGTAATTAAATACGTTTCTCTCTAGTAGATGACTAATACAATGACATAATCCCTTGGCTCCCTTAAAATATTTTAGTTCAAAACTTGATTGGATCACGTCCATTTTCAATGTGTAAAAAGTCTTTATATTATTACATTAACTTAATTGCCCTAAGGAAATAAGCCACACACCCCAACTTATCAAATATGAAGTGTAAATCATGGAGGCCAAAGTTTCAGCATGAATGAGAGATGGATAACTGAAGAAGCAATTTTCTGGTACGTCTTACATCAAAAAAGCTGTATGGGCAATCAGATGAACAACATAGAATTACATATACATATATGGACACTGTGGCATTGCCTTGCTTGTTAACTGGGGAGCATGCATTTTCATGAGCAATAGCCTTTTTCAAGATGAAAACATTCTGACTACAGGAGCAGGCTATAACTAAATATGGATGCAGGGTATAAATAAATATTGAGGTGGTTCATAACATCAAAATGTTAACAGTACTGAAAGATTGCTTGCATTCAGTAACCCAACATTTAATTGCCTGTTGCCTTCATCTCGATATACTATGTCGTCCATAAGTAGATCTGTTAGTTAAGGTATTGTAGAGGAAGCTGAGAGGTTCAAATGATAATCTATTGATTATTGCTGGCATTTCAGAGCCCTTTGGGAAAGGATTTTGGGATTTTCCAGGAATAAGTTGGCAAACCATTAAACACTAAGCAAAATTGTAGAAACAGGTGTTTTATATCTCATTTAATGGTTAGAGAAAGGAATTTCCTAATGAACAGGTGTTCCAACCCTGAGGAAACATCAGTAAACGTTTTAATGAGGATAGTACACTAACAAGCTGTCAGAGTGGAGATTTATGTTTAATCTCTTTACTTCAAAGAAATGGGTTCAGAAGTTCATAATGATTTAATTTTAAATAAGGAAAAATCAAACTAAATTCTTCTTTAAGTTTAAAATGCTTTAATATATAAAATTGAGTTATTGGAATCTATAAGCAATATATCTGCCTTTTTAGCAGCTTATTATTTTAAGGCAAAAGGACTGTTTACTTGCATAGAGAAACAGCCATATACTTAATGAACCGAGCTGGCAAGAAATGCCCAGTGAAAGGAATGTTTGAGGGTAGAAAAAAATTAATTGGGGTGAACAAAAAAGTAACTGTACTGCAAGAGAGAACCCCCCCCCCTTTCTGACTTGCTGTGTGCTTTTAAAAGTTAAAATATAACTTTTAATATTTTGTTTATAGCTGAGAATGAAGGCTTATGGTATAGAATATTTGCAAAAAGAAACTGCTAGCTAAAATACGTATTAAGATTATTTCTTAAATAAGAAGCTTTGCTGATGCACAGCTATAAGCCAAAGATTCAAGTAAACTGCTAAGCATTATTTTAACAAGCAAAAGAAATGGAACATGGCCAATCAGGTATGTAGTTATCTCAGAGTTCATGGGCATCTGTCAATTAAAAAGACTAATAAAAATGCAGAATTTATATGTTATACGAGAAGGACCCCTACTGGCCAAAGTAAAATAGCATATTTTACAAGACCAAAAACTTTAATTCAGATTTAATATCTTTATAAAATTAACAAAAAATCCTCTGATGGATTAAAATGAAGGATAATAGGTAAATTCAAGATATCTATAAAAGCTTTATGCTATAGGCCACTTTGGAACATTAGGAAGTGCATGTAAAGGGTCTAATTATTTAGACTATCAGTATAATTTATATTTTATATATTTTGTGTATCCTTATTAAGAGTATTTTTATAAACATATATACACGTATATGCAGGGGTTAGTTATTTTTAACATTGTGAATTTATCTCTCCAAGGTGGTGTTCTTTTCTAATGCTTTTGAGAAGAGTTCATATTAGGTCCATGGAAGAGATGACCAATGGTCCATTCACAGTGGCAAATTGAGGACTTTTTTCTTCCACTGGATTGTATGGAAAAGCATCAGAATAACTCAAATGCACCAAGATAGGGCCAGTGGTTGGTCGTAATAACACCAGCTACTCGCCTATCACTTTCCCCACCTGCTGGGATCACAGGAATTGTTGCTGGGGACTGCTCTGTCAACAAACAAACCATCCCAGTAGAGATTCCTGTGATCAAAGCAGGGGGAAATAGTTTGTGCTGATTCACGTATGGGATCTTCAGAAGCAAAGCAGTGTAAAAGAAGAAAGTATCTGGCTTAGGGGTATGATCTCTGGTAGAGATCCACTCACTCATTTGAAGGGATGGACTAGGCTGATATTTTCACAGTAACTCCTACCGTCTCATAATGTTCTCCTACCATCCCCATAATGTTGTTTTCTCCAGGTGTGATGAATATGTCACACAACTGGATGAGATGCAGAGGCAATTGGCTGCTGCAGAGGATGAGAAGAAGACCCTGAACTCTTTGCTGCGGATGGCTATCCAGCAAAAACTCGCCCTCACACAACGTCTAGAAGATTTAGAGTTTGATCACGAGCAGTCCCGGCGGAGCAAAGGCAAACTTGGAAAGAGCAAGATCGGCAGCCCTAAAGTAAGTGAGGAGGCATCAGCCACCGTGCCAACCATAGACACTTTCCTCCTGCATAGTCAGGGCCCACAGCAACCAAACATACTGCTCAGCAGTGGCACTCAGAGGAAAAGGTATGCATGCAGTCATCTTTATAGTACAGTGCAGTGGCCTGACTTGAATTAAGGTCATCCACTGAATTGCAAATACAATATATATTTTGGTTGGGGATGGGAGAGGCTTCTCTAAATTAAAACCATGGCAAAAAGTGCTTCTAATCTCACCTGTCCACAATATTTTATTCTCCTTTTAAATATGGTTGTACATCGTATCCTGTTGGCATTTCAGAATATCCTCTATGTTTTGGATGTGTCTGCTTTATGTATGGCAAAAATATCCCTCTGCAGGGAAAGGGCTGTGTCCAAGCAGCGCAACCAGTTGATCTCTCTCTGATAAACTATGGTGCTGATTAGCTTGCCTCTTTCTTTTCAATATGGATAGGAGTGTGTATGCTCCATTGTTGTGTTTTCTCAACTTCTGTGTTAAAACGAGCAAATGTTCAGAAGCAAATGCTAATGTTTTGCAGCATCTCATATGGTTTCATCCTGTCAACTGGGGAAAGGAAGGGAAGAGAATAGGTAGAAGACTGTGGGGAAAATGCTCACTACTTTGGGAGATAACTACCAGCAACAGAATCAAAACAAGATTTTCCCCACTTGGAGGCTTTTTGGCCAAACATGTGCCGCCTCTGTACTGTTTGGTTTGGTGTAAATGTTAAATGAAAGTATTGTACATGATGTTTATTGAGTGTATCTACTAAATAATAATTAAAGAGCTAAATTGTTAAATCAGGACTGTGGGAGAAGGAAACAGAGGGATTAACTCAGGCTGGTACAATTTGTGGCTCACTTTGCCACACGTAGCCTATCAGCCATGTATTATGGCTTGGCAGGTGTTCAACACCCTTCTTACAACAATCCTTGGCAGGTAGTAAAGGTTAGTTACATTAAAGCTATGGTGGGCTATCACATGTGGCAGGTGATCTGTGCTTGACTTCAGAGGTCACAACTTGTGCAGGGTTGCCATATCTCATTGACAAATGTTAACTGAGATATGTCTCCTTTTGGGGGGTTGGAGGCGATGATAGGGGTGATGGCAACAAACTGGTTTGCTTTTTCAGAGGAAAAAATAGTATGATGTTGACATTCATGGGGCCATTGCTCAGTAATTAAAGTAAAAACTCTTTTGTTTCCGTATGTATTTTTTCTTGGATCTCCTGCAAGACTATTCTCACCTTCCCCTTGTGATCAGAGCCATCCCAGGACTTCAGGGACCTATCTACTGCCTTTATTAAGAACCCCCCCTGATCACACCTTCACAGAATCATTTCTTCTGAGGGGCCCCCCCTCCATGAATGAATTCTTCCATGGGCACCGTCTCAGCAAGGAAAAAAGGTTAACCGTGGCCATCCCAGGTAAACATTTTTTCCTTGGGTGCATGTAGTGCAAAATGATTAGCTGAGTGTAAGGTGAATCCTTTCCAAGCACTGCACATTCTGTTTTTAATTTGGGCACATTCACCTGACTCTTAATGTAATAGATCAGTGTTCTTAGATTGTTTCAGGCTAGTTCAACTGAAGTCAGTGGGGCCAATCTGGAGGGTGCAGTTTGAGGATTTCAGGCACAGTGTCCTCCAATATATACATAAACAAAAATTCAGTGAGTCACATTTCTCCGTGTCACGGTAGACGCCATTGCCAATTTCAAAAGGAGTTGCGTCTGCTTACCCCCAGGACTGACTTTAGTTTTGTATCTCATTTGAACCCTTTTGACAAAATAATAGATTGGTGAAATGAAAGAGGTGCCGTACGTGAGGGGCCACATCATTTGGTTACACAATAAACATTTACATGTTTCACCCCATACCTGGTATATGTGATTTTTCCAAGATTTTCCCAAGACCCATTATTAAAGATAAGTACAATAAGATAGATAGGGCTAGAGAAGCAAAAAATATACTTTTTTTTAAAAAAGGCTTCCTTAATCATGAAATCTGTTAAAAGGTTTTTCAGACTGCCAGGTGGGGCCCGGAGATCTCCTGGAATTACAACTGATCTCCAGACGACAGAGATGCATTCCCCTGGAGAACATGGTGGCTTTGGAGGGTGGGCTCTATGGCATTATGCTCCATTGAGGTCTCTCTCCTCCCCAAACCCTGCCTTCCCCAGACATCACTCTCAGATCTCCAGGAATTTCCCAACCCGGAGTTGGCAGCCCTATAGAAAATACTTTCCAAGGGATTTCTAAGGAATGTTAACTATCTCAGACTTGATGTCGTTGAGCTTATGCGTGCCAGACTCTATGTTGGAAGTCAGTCACTGACTTGAAATTTTACCCAAGATTTACCATCAGTCCTTTTACGTAGCATACAGTGTTCCCTCTAAGCTGAGTTAGTGTGAGCTAGCACGCAGTTTTTTTAGCCTCCGGCTTACGCATTTTTGTCTTAGCTCAGGAAGGACGGCTCCAGAGCAAACTAATTTATGCAATAGCCAGTCTGCTCGCTCACACCTTTAATGCCAGTAGCTCACAAAGTAGAATTTTTGCTCACAAGACTCCACAACTTAGAGGGAGCATTGGTAGTACACTGAGAATTTTAAAAATGGTAGACCAAAGGGAAAAGACTATGCAAATTTAATATATAATCATCCATGGTTTAGCATTTAATAGAAGCCTGTACAACTCTTGCGGCTGAAATATTGAACTTATTATAGATTATTATCCACATAGAAGATATTTCAAACTGTCACTTCAGAATCATCTTAAGAACTAAAGAAGAACCCTGCTGGATCAGACCAGTGGTCCATCTAGTTCAGCATCCCATCTCACACAGTGGCTAACCAGTTCCTGTGGAGGACGAACAATGGGGCATAGAGGCTGAGGCTGTCCCCTGATGTTGCCTCCTGGTACACGGATTCAGAAGTTTACTGCCTCTGAACATGGAGGTTCCCTTTAGTCACCATGGATGGTAGCAACTGATAGACTTATCCTCCATAAATCTATCTAATCCCCTTTTGAAGCTGTGTATTCCTGTGGCCATCACTACATCCTCCGGCAATGAATTCCATATTTTAATCACTTGTTATGTAAAGAAGTATTTCCTCTTGACTGTTCTGAATCTATTGCCCCTCAGCTTCATTGGATGCCCTTGAGTTCTAGTATTTTGGGAGGAAGAGGAAAAGTTTTATTTTTTATCAGCTCTCTCCATCCCATGCATCATTTGGGCTTTAAAGCCCAATACGCTACAAATGCCAGCAAGAAAGCAAATCTTAAATCTCCTCTTAGAATACATCTCACAACAAACCTTCTGCTACAAAACTACTTGTTGGAACAAGACAAGATTTGCCAAATATGATAAATAGTGCTAGCAGATCACTTTGGCTAAGCAGCGGGTTTAGGCGTGTCACAAAAACGTAAAGCCACAAATTCATACAATACAAAATTCATACTTGACTGTGAAAGGCACTCAAAATCTGGTTTAATATTTTTATTACCCAGACCTCCTCATATGTTGCCTGATGTCTTCCCTGTATCCTGCTTCTGTTATAACCCCCTATATTTGGATTACACTTGTCAAAAAAATTTTGGCAGCAGTACAACTTTGCCAATTACAGGACATTATTGACAAGAAGCAATTTGTAGGAATTTCACAGGTATGTCCAGTACATGCTACCCAAACCAAGTGCAAACTATAGTGGGTTTCGTCATAGAAATAATCCACCACTGACAATTACACTGTTGAAATGGAACTATAATTATTATCAACACTGGTGTGCTTTCTGTAGAACTCATCATCTGGGTTTTCAGTTCTTCTTAAGGACTTAACGTTCCAACTGTCCTGTTTCTGGAAAATTAATATATTAACTTAATTTAGGCCTTGACTTTTGATTGTCATTCTGATCTGTCACAAGAAATGTTTACTTGTTTTATTGTACTCTTAATAAATACCTTCTTGGATGTCCTTAAGAGTTTAATGGGAACACACAGAATTTCTGACACTGGCTTCTTTTCCTTTCTCCTCACTTTCCCAGCTGTGGATAACACTAGACAAGAATAGAGATAGAAAGGAAAACAGCAAGGTGTGGGGTTGCCAACCTCCAGGTGGGGCCTGAAGATCTGCTGGAATTACAATGGATCTCCAATTGACAAAGATCAGTTCTCTTAGAAAAAACAGATGCCTTGAAGGGTACACTATATGGCATTGTACCCCAGTGAGGTCTGTCCTCAGACTTCACCCCCAGATCTCTAGGAATCTAGGAATTTACAACCCAGAGCTGGCAACTCTAGCAAGGAGTGACTTTCTTGTTTCTGTTGGCAGGGCATGAGCAAGCAGTGGCGGCAGCAGCTCTATCCTTGCATGATAGGTCAGGGCAAGGAAAGGTCTGGAAAGGCACTCTCCAGCCATAGGTCCCTGAAGCAACTTTTGCAACATACAGCTGCTAGAGAAACCTCGAGACTTCTGAAACATGACGTCTCATTCAGAAAGGAGGTCTTGAAATACTGTGTGACCTGAGTCCTAGACATGCGTGTGAATTGTGACTCAGTGGAAGCATTTCAGTTCACTTTTGTTTAGGGGATAACAAAATTGTTCTTGAGAAATGGCAGATATTGACAGAAATGTGGGTGATCTCCATGTATTTCCAGTGTCTGAAAAAGTTGTTCCAAAAGCCTCTGGAGAAAGGAAATTACAGAAAGTACAGTGATGTATAGTTTCAATAGTTTGACGTATAGTTTGATTTAGGAAACCAAAGCATTTTCAGGAGTTGCTTCCATAGACACAACTCCTGGTCTTTCCCCAAAGATTCCAATTCTTGTGTTTTTAGAAATAGGTCCTACTCCCATTTGCCTATGGATCCCAGTCCCTCCCAAAAGAAGCATATTTCCCTACATAAAAGTGCATGCATGTGTGTATGTGAGAGAGGGTGGTGGTGGCAGCCACATCAGAGAAAAATGTAGATGTAATTTCATGTTCCTATCTACAAATATTTGGTTTGGGGATTGCAAAATTTGACAATTTTACTGCAGAATTGTAGGACCCAGGCCTTTGGGGCCACACAGAGCTGTTCTGCATACAGATTAAATCAGACCTTTACAGAGTTTAGGCTGCAGTCTCTAAGGAGTTGTCTTGCCCGTGCCCTATGGGAATGAACTGAAGCCACACAGGAGCCACACTACGCATTCCAGTTGGGCTCACATAAGAGAATTTCCTTCTGGGTGTGAGTCTTTGTTCAGTCATCTCAAAATTAAGGGCTTCAGAGCTACATAACATTGCAAAGTTATTATATTGATGCTGTCCTCTCCAGCCCTGACAAATCTCAGGCACACCTGGGATGGATTAATCATATAACCCATGTGCTGTGCAACAATTATTGGTGCTATTGTGTTGACAAGTGGGGAAAGTTGCAACTGCCCTTGATTATGAACTGTAAGCATTTGGAACCATGTTTCCTCTTTTGTAATCATTATTCCTTCTGTTTGAATTAGTTGAATTCTTGTTCTCATCTAGGGTTGCTAACCTCCATGTGGTACCTAGAAACCTCTCGCTATTAATTATAGTTGATCTCCGGACGACCAAGATCAGTTCCCCTGGCGAAAAAGGCTGCTTTGGAGGGTGGACTCTATGGCATTGTACCCTGCTTGAGGTCCCTCCCTTCCCTTCACCTTCCCCAGGCTCCACCCCTCCAAATCTCCAGGTATTCCCCTTCCCAGAGTTGGCAACCCTATCAAAAAATGCAAATTCGGTGGAGAAAGGTTCAGTTCTGGTTTGAGTTTATAAGATGAGTAATTCTGCATAGGATTCCACTGCTAGGATCCCAGTTTGTGGGGAGTAGAAAGACTAGTTTGCTGAGATGTCTGCATGGTGGATTGGAGCTTGATTAAACTAGGAAGTTTTGAATCGAGCACCATGTGTGAGGGGAGGTGGGAGGAGCAAGGAGAGAGCCTAAGCATAAGCAACATGCTTTCACTGTGCACAATTTCAGTTTGTTAATTCCAGTAGATTTGTCTTTTTAGAGAGTAAGAAACCGGTACTTAGTTTACAGAAGGCTGCAAAAGGGCAGTGTGGCTAATTCAGTCCCCCATTCATCTATCCGGACTTGTGTATGGGGCCATCTCTTATCCATTGTTCCATTCTATGTGGACTACAGTAATTGGGATAAAACAAGAATAGCACTATAATATCACTTCCACATACTCAGTGGAAAGGTACTCTGTTCAACAGTGTACAGAGAGTTTCTTAAAGTTATTCAAGTTTCATCAAGTATGCCCTGGACAGTTTTCTGGGCTACTGCTTAGAAGCTTTCTTGGTTCTGCTGTGACCTTTAACCTGGGGTTGCAAATCTAGTTAGTTGTCCTACTAGTCAGAGCCGAAACAGATGTGACACCAGGATCTTCTACAGTTTTTAACAGGCAGGTGCCT